AGTTAGATCCACCTAGACGGACTTGTCCTAGACGAAGTTTTCTAGACTGATTTTTGTCTAGTTTAGTCTAACTAAGCAGATTTATGAACAACCTAAACGGTTTTTTCCGTCTAGATTAGCCTCTTTTACTACTAGTGAGCTCAACTACCAAACTAGAACTCAATTAAGCTTATATAGAACAATTAAATTCAATATCAAGATTTGAGGTGTTGGGGGACTAAGCATGCAAATAGAGATGACTTGAGGCATATATGATACGGGTGTATCTTCTCTTTGGAACTTAGTGATTCTCATGAGAGCTTGAGGATAGATGATTCTCATGGTAGCTTAAGAATAGAGGTGCAAAACAGCACAGTAGAACGCAGGTTGAACCATGGAACGAGACGGCGAATCGAAGAATCGAAGCATCCAGTTTTCAGCCCGTGAGTCGACTCATAACAGTCATGAGTCAACTCATCAGGTTGAGTCGACTCATCAGGTTGAGTCGACTCATCAGGTTGAGTCGACTCATGCCTGTCATAGGTCGACTCATGAAACTCAGCCGTTTGTCACCAGTTTCTGACGAGTCGACTCATCTCAGTCATGAGTTGACTCATTACTGGTTTTGTGTTTTGTCCAGTTTCGGACGAGTCGACTCATCTTAGTCATGAGTCAACTCATCGATGGTTTCCTGGTTCGTTTGGGTTTCTGTCTGCATGTTTTCCTGTAGGGTTTAGGCTTGGTTATTTACCACTTTGCCATCCACGTTGTTCCACATATAAGAGGGATTGTTTTAGGGTTTTAAAACAATCAAGAGAGATTAGATTGTACTTAGAGAATTGAGAGAGATTGTTCTTCAATTCTAATGAGATTGTGAGAGATTGTAAGTTACTTGATTCTCATAATCTAGAGAAGGTATTTTCCTTCGACACACTGAATTACTCTTGTGTTCTTGTTATTTTCTTCTCAACCCACCTTTGATAATTCCACGATCAAAGGTGCTCACACGGCGACTAGTATCAATATATGTGCAAAAAAATTAACTGAACCTCAATCATCAAAATTCAAATGCAGAAATATCAGTTAATTCCAACAGCTGAATTACTCTTTATCTCAAATAAATAATGATGATGATGATGATAAAGGACAAAATAATTCAAGACATTGGAACGATGTGGCCTGTCTAGCTGCTTTTCTTCTCAAATAAAAAAAATCTAGATTTCTTTTTTGCGTACGTACCCCTACATCTATAGTATTTGCAAATTTACCCTTCAAATCTAGATATTTGCTAGTTTATGTCAAATTCACCCAAATTTATTTACTTACTCCCCAATTTTTAATATCACTAATACACCCCGGATTAAATTAATTAACTTTAATTTATATTTAGAAGAGAGGGAGAGGGCAGTACTTGCTAACTTATCCTCCCACATCTCCTCATTCTCTCTCAATATAATTATAAATAATAAAATTAATTAACTTAATCAGTAATCTATTAGTGATTATTGAAAATCGAGGATATAACAAAATCAATGTAGGGCATTTGGACGATTAATTTGCAAATATGATAAATTTTGTAAGTATATAGGTTAAAAACCCAAAAATCTAATAAATTTAGTTATTTTTTTTTCTAAACAAGAATCAATCAACTTTTTTTGGTTGACGAGAGAATTTTTCCACTATCCTTCGAATCATGAGTGTCAAACCGTTAGCCATGACTAAGAGGCACCCCTAAAGTGCAACCTCAAGTATTCCAAAAAATTAATTTCATGAGTGCTCCATAAGAGAGTCAAACATAAGACATTGATGTACTACTCAATAGGCAGCTTACCAACTCGACTAGGCCCTCTTGGATCACAAAAATCAATCAACTAAAACTTGATAATAATAAAATTGCATGCTTAAAAATTATAAATCTCACCTTTCAAGAATAAGCTTATTTTGGCACCTTCTACATATTCATCCAATTAAATATACTAATGATCTGCACAAAATACGTGCTTTTTTTAACGAGATCTCCCTAATGAATTGGCAGAATTTGGGTCAATATTTTGGACTAATCAAACAACAGTGATTGTCTTTATGTAGCTGAGTTATGCTTCTGCCATCCCCAGAGACATTCATATCACACTTTGAGATCAAATATGAAGGAAAAGTAATCTATTCTAAGTCCTGCAACAAAACAAAATCATAAAAAATGATGGTAGGTGGGGGCAGACTTGAGTGCACAACGAGATCTAATAGCAACCTTTCAATAGATGGGCACATGCACACTCAAGCATAAAATACTTCCATTAGATGCAAAACTGACATTTTTGGAGTTACTTGGTTATGTGTGAGGCCCCACACTTTAACCTCATAGGGAAGTGTGAAGAGATTTAATAAGCTTAAATAGGTAAGTTCAAGATTTAAGTGTAACATTAGCGGGATTGAGTCAAACAACGTGTTACACTCGGTGGATCCTACGGGTTGCACGTGCTAATGGGCCCACGGGTTTAGGGCTTGACAAATGATATCAGAGCAGTTGTCAGCCACAAGTGTGGAGCTAAGCGGTATGTGAGGCGAATTGTTATGCCACGTGAGCTCATGCGGTAAGAGCCATCTTGAGAGCTCGTAGGAGCCATCTCTAGAGTCCACATCGCCTAGCGATACTGACATGTGCCAATTATCATGTCGCGACAAGGATGTCGCCTTTGTAAAGTGGGGCGATGTAACGCTCCACACTTTGGTCCCACATCCGTAAAGTGTGAAGAGATTTAGTGGCTTAAAAAGGTAAGTCTAAAACTCAAGTGTAACATCAGCTAGTCGATTTTGGCGGTGGATTGAGCCAAACAACATGTAACACTAGGTGAGTCTCATGGCTTGCATGTACCAACGGGCCCACGGGTGCCGGGCATGACATTATGTGCAGAGAAACTAACAATATTAGAAAAAGTCACTGCATGCTACCAATGCATGCTACCAATGTAGATAAAAACCTATAAATTTGTTGGCAAAGACAAAATCACAGAAACTATAACATGCAAAAATTACCAAGGTCCAAAACTCCAAATATCAGATATTTTTTTAGCTTGCACCCCTTGTAGTACTGATATTTTGAACTTACTACTCCTATAGTTTCATTGTTGCAGATAAAGCCCCTGGGTTTTTTTTTTTTTTTTTGACTTTTTTTTACCCTTGGTGAAATTCTGGTTAATTGCACAGACATTTTCCTTGGAAATGGAGAAGGATTGATCCCTAATTCCGACTGGATCTCCTGTGCTATTAACCAATTGCAGACATACCCCTATAATTCTATTGTTGAAGATATAAACCCTAAGTGAACTTTGTTTGCTCGTTTATCCTCAGAGAAAGAGAACATTACATTTTGACAAACAGACCTCGATTTAGAGTCAAAAAAAAATTTTCATTGAGGAGCTCTACCACTAGTGGACAATAGTAAAAGGGGTCTATCTGCAACGATAAAATTGCTAAGGGTCTATCCGCAATTGTGCGATAAATACAAGGGGTCTTTCTGCAATTACCCTCTTCTTCCCCCCTTTCAATCACATACAACTTTTAGAAAGAACAACTTACTTACCACCATAATCAACTGTACTTTTTAATTGAGCGCAAAATGACCAAATGCTACCACTTGTTTTGCAAGTGATAACTCTTAACCAATAGATCCCATTCACGATACGAGCCACCTAAGAAACACATATCTAATATGACCAATCAAGTGCTACAAGTATTTGCAATTAACTACATTTACATTCCAATCATACGTATCAGCTACTGTTGCCACATCAACACAAGCTTTAAAGGCCAAATTGAACAGGAGAAGTTGCGCCAGTCACATGATGCATCTTGACGATGCATGGAACAATCAGAAGGACAATACTTCGAGAAAAATCAGGCTTTTGTAACTTTCTCAATTTCTTTACAAGTAACTGAGAATTCAAGAACCAATTCAGTCATTGTAGCCATTACAGTTCAAATCAACTCAGTCATTGTAGCCGCTGCACCTTCAAGAGAACTGTACTGCTTACTAATTAAAGATCCATTGCTGCTCCAGTTGCTGGCCCATGTCCTATTTTCAACATGAACAATTTTTTGAAACAAACCCATTTTAAATTTTTTTTTTAAAACCGACCCTTTTTTTTATTTACCAAAACCGACCGGATTTTGTGATTAGCAGTCTAATTAACTTCCTAAACAGTCGGGGTTGACAACCCTAACTATTTAGGACATTAATTTTTAGGGTTTAAGACTTCTAATTAGGGTTTAACACCTTCCTAAATAGTCGGGGTTGGTAACCCCGACTATTTAGGAAGGTAATTAAACTGCTAATCACAAAATCGGGTCGGTTTTGGTAAATAAAAAAAAGGGGGTCGGTTTTAAAAAAAAAATTTGAAACGGGTCTGTTTCAAAAAATTCTTCTTTCAACATTTACCTCTGTCAATGGACTTAACTGGTACAAGCCAAAATGATCCCCAACCGACCCCAAATTAACTCACTATAGATTTACACCGATCTCCCTCAAATCTGGGCCATGATTCCCAACCATGTTTCAACAAACTTGGGGTGTGGATGATCGAGATTTTGAACTGATTTTAGGGCTATTTTTTGACCTAGGGAAAACTGGATTTTTTTTTTTGGGTCATCAAACATATCTTTTCTAAAAATAGGGTCAAGGGCAATCATAGCTTAATTTGAGTGATTGCTAAACACAACATTGGTCTTTCACTCAAGAGCTTTGCTACGGGGACCCAAAATATGGGACCAATAAAAGGGACAAGTGAGGTGTCCCCCTCCTATTGGATAATGAGTTGACCATCATTAATGATGGTCAACTCATTATCCAATAGGAGGGGGACACCTCACTTGTCCCCCCTATTGGTCCTCTATTTTGGGTCCTTAAAGAATTTTTCTTCACTCAAAAAGACACTTGGACTAGCACAAATATTTATGCACGCAATAACATTAGATATAAATGCAACCAAACAGCTTATCAATGCAATCGTTGAACAGTCTGACTGTACTGATAAATGATAATGATGTGCGCGTTAAAATTTGTGCTAGGCAAATCTCTTCATCCCTTTTACACCAATATGATTTCCTATAAGGGCCCTCAACGGGATTTTTTTCTCTCTCTCTTCATTTATACTGCTACTTTTCATTGGAAGGACTCTAAATGCTCATCTCTTGTAGTATTAGAGTAATATGAGATTAGTACTACTGTTAGCATTACTTTTTAGATATATAAAACTCGGAAGTGTCAATATGTACTACCAGCAACTACAACTCCTCAAGGTTTCGGATAATATGCTTGGTGTCCGGTCTCAAGGCGGGGGATGGAGAGCAACAAGCCAACGCAAGATGATAGAACTTGATCAAACCTTCTTCGATTGTAGAGTTCTTATCCCTACTCAGCGTCTCCGATACTTTATGCTCAAGAAACAAGTTCTTCAAGGAGGCAGGGAGGTGAAGACTTGTAGCCTCCTTTCTAGTTAAAATTTCGAGAAAGATAACTCCAAGGCTATAGACATCGGTTTCTTTACTGACGTCCCTCATCTTGATAAGCTCGGGGGCTTTGTATCCCTGAGCTGCTGAGGCCTCGAGCATTTCTTGGGCTGATGTCGAGTTGAGGAGGAGGTGTAGGCCGAAATCTGATAGAAGAGGTTGGCGATTGATGTCAATGAGGATGTTGCTTGATTTCAGATTGCCATGGATTATGGGATTTTGTAGTCCATTGTGTAGGTGATCCAATCCTCTTGAAATGCCGAGTGATAGCTTGTAGATGATATCCCATCCGTGTGATTCTGGTTTTCCATCTGCAAATTGATGAAATCTATACTTATTTTGCCAATTTGTTAACAATAATACTATGTTATTGACTTGTTTGTTTAATAAATTATGAAGAGGGCCGAACGAGATTTTTCTCAGCAAATACTACAATTATATATGAGAGTAATTAAAGGACATCGACTCATAAGCATAATAAAGTAATTCACAAGGTTCATCGTAGAAAATGATCCTCAGTAAAGCAAAACAGCACAAAAGAACTAAAGAGCCAGGACTAATATTTTTCTCTTTGAAGTGTTAATAAGCATCTATTAACTGAACCTCAATCCACAAATTCAAATGCAGAAACCTCAGTTAATTCCACCAGCTGAATTGCCCTTTATCTCAAATAAATAATGATGATGATGATGACGATAAAGGACAAAATAATTCTAGACGCTGGAACAATGTGGCCTATCCAGCTGCTTTTCTTCTCAAACAAAAAAAAAAATCCTTGATTTCTTTTTGAACCTCCAACCCTACAGTATTTGTGATATTTACTCTTCAAATCTAGATATTTGCTAATTTATGACCAATTCTCTCAAATTTATTTACTTACTCCTCAATTTTCAATATCACTAATATGAAAACACCGGAAACTTTTTTTTTTGAAAAAAACAACAATCAATCAACTTTTTCCTTAGATGCTCTCCAAAGAAAGTCAAACCTCAACCACTAGAATACTAACTTATGGCAGCTTAAGACCCTCTCGGATCACAAAAATCAAGCACTTAAAACTTAATAATAAAATAAAATTGCATGCTTTTAAAAAAAAAATTTAAATTCTCACCTTTCAAGAACTGAACCAAATCCCCACCCTCACAAAAGGGGTACACAAGCAACTTCTCCCCTCCACCTCCCCCATACATGGCCACCAACGGCACCAAATTCGGGTGCCGA